CGACCATTGTGTTGGAGTCTCGGCTTCATTTTTAGCATTGCAAGACTGAGCTTATACTAACATGCGAAACCGCACGTCGTGCTGATCCCCAGCAAGTATTGTTGAGCTCGCTTCCTGATAAGTGCATAATTCAGTGGTGAGCAGGAATGTGACCATGTCATCTTCCCTCATCTTAAAAATGTTCGAAAGCTTGATGATTTTGCCAAGTAGAGGGCTGTTGCGAATTTTCGCTATATGTTGACCTTAAACCTACCCAGACAACGTAATCGATGTCCTTTCGGACATGGGATGTGTCAAAGATAGGCCATTTTTTCGTCCTTGGTACAGACGCGAGGATGCAATACGGGCTATTTTTGCCGCAGATGGATTTTACCTCAAAGTTTTTACCAAGAAATTTAGTTCAGGCTTGGGCCTTTACTTCCGAGCAAAGTAGAAAGTAAGACATTACAAAAGAAGTGCTCATTAGTACACGGGAGCTGTTGGGAACTCACTGATGACACGAAGCCCTCGCAGATGCTTCCTGAAACGACTCTAAATCGGCGAAACATGTGTTTGGACTTTTGATCAGTGGTGGTGGTATGAAGAATCAGTCAACAGCTGTATATTACCGGCTGCCGGTTGGCAGATTGTGAAAACAATGAACTCAGTATGCTGAAGTTGGCGGAATACAGCCAAAACACTCATAACGCATTTGAACCAAATCTGGGTGGGTTTTTTTAAGTGGGGTGTTACTTAAAGTTCGCCCATAAATTCCAGAGAAAGTAAAAAGCTTAAAACTAAGCAGCCCTCTGGACAGAGTAGTTGGTCTGGGACAGAACACGATTAAAAGCTGTTCAGGGAACATTGATGGTGAGCTACCTTTAAATGTGTATTGGTTGTCCAAAGACAACATCTGGAGGATACAGTGATGATTACTTTAGATATTCACAGAAAGATGGCAATGAAAGTATATATCAGCCCTTTCTTACGGTCATCAGTGCGGCCGCTGGTCCATGTCGCATTCGGTCAGCCTTCCACGCACCTCGAACTCTGCGT